AATTCAGATTTTTAAAAGAACTCTACAATAACTCTCATTAACTGCATGGAAGCATTGGGTTGAGAATGCTGCTGACTATTTATTACTGTTTTGTATTAACTAATTGGAAAACACCTAAATTATAACCAGTCACCCCCGCAGTTCAGGGTTGATTAAACAGCCCATGACACTTTTTCCCTCATAGGCTGTCTTAGGAGTGATAACTTACCCATTGGATTGAGTTAATTATTCCTCATTCTTTCTAGTGTTCCTCTCTGCAAATGTCCTAAAAGTATACTACCATCCTGTACCAGTTTTTCCTTATGTTTCACAATGGATACATCTAAACTAGGGAAGTTTAAGAGCAATTGTTAGGTTTGGTTTGGTTATTTCAAAGGAATAGATAAATCATCATGCTACAACATGAGAGAGGAAATGACAGTTTTTATCTTTTATTCAGGTACCCTATATTTACATGAGACCACAAAAAGTTCCTGACAGGATGTTATTGATTGCATTTACCCAACTGGGGCTTGAGATGAGTCTTCCTGCCACATCACAGGGCATGCTCTTCTTTTCATTTTTATTTGAGAATGAAATCCCAGATCTTCTGGACTCTCCCATGAAATTGTAAATTTTTAGAATAGAGATTTCAGGCCCCTTGGCATTAATCATTCATCTAATTCAGTTCCCTTCTCTGTGCCAATTAGTAACACTGTCTTCTCTTGTTGAATACTTTGAGTAACATAATTGCTCCAAGGAACTAAGTGAAGATCAAACACTTATTGTAGGAACTCAGGTTTACTGAGTACCAGGTCCTCTTATAAATGTCTTATTTGTAGTAGCTCATTTAATCCTCACGACAACTTTATAAGGGAGGGACTCTTTTTATCTTCATTTTATAGGTGAGGATCCTGAGACACACTGATTTGTGATTTGCCTAAGGCAAAGGTTGGTTTGTTTCCTTCCTTCCTTCCTTCCTTCCTTCCTTTCTTCCTTCTTTTCTCCTTTCTTCTTTTCCCTCCACTCCTCTTTCTTCCCCTTCTTTTCTTTCCCTACCCCTTCCTTTCCTTTCTCATCCTTCTTTCCTTCCTTCCTCTCTCCCTCTTTCCTTCCATCCGTCCATGCAAATGAAAAATGTGAATTGAGCACTTAGTATGTGCTTCATAGTATTAGGGGCACTAGAGATGGCAGTGAACACAGCAGATAAATTCCTGTGCTCATGGAACTTAGCCACTATCCCAGTACTACCCCAAATTACACATCTCCCCCCAGGAGCTTTCCTAGATTAATTCCAGCCAACTTATGACCCACCTGGATAATCTCAACCCATCTTCCATTTCAATCCACTTAACTAATTAAAAAATTCAAAGGGTCATACTTTAGCTGTGGTGAATGTCTCAAAACCTTAATGTGCCAATAGGCAATGTCTGTCTTTATTATGTACCTATTATGCCTACCTTTATTAGGCACTTTTATTTGCATGATCTTGGCTCCTATGAGTGGTCACAAAATTCAGTGTAACTGCTGGACTGTTTATGTTGCAATGAAAGAGAGATACGTGGGACATTATTGGACTTACTTTGAGATGAGATTTAATTTTATTTTACCTAATGAAAGCATTAAAAAGTTTAGTTTTCAACAAATGTGGTCATGAAGCTGATTTGGGATTTCCTGAATCACATTTGCAATTTAGGAGTAGAGCATTGACCATTCTAGCTTTGGTCATTAGTCTGAGCTTTATTAAAACATTAAACTCTAGGGAAATTTTCTAGATATTTTAATCACAATTAGTTAAGCTCACTCTTTCCTCTCCAACTTTCTTACTTCTCATGTTACACTTTCCCTCAAGTTAAGTGATATAGGGGAAACCATGGTTTTTATTTATTTAAAAAATCTTACTTAGAAAAGTACAATGGGGAATATACTTAGTGTGGGTTTAGTGGGATATACTTAATATAGTTTTCAATCACTTCCATATTATAGCTTGTTTCCTAGAATACACACATCTTCCAGGAAAATTTCTATTGCCCATTGTGCCAACTCACCTGACATTATGACACAGAGATTCAGGGCAGAAATTTCTATCTTAATATTAATGTCTGATGGTCCCCAGCTTTGGAAGCATGTGGACTGAATACGAGAAACAAGTTTGAAATATACAGAGTTGAAAGCCAGACTGTGGATAATTCTTTTAAACTTTACACTCATATATAGCAGAAATTTGATGAGATTTTTGCAAAGTTGACAATAATCCTAAATATGCACATGACACTACAATCAATAATAAGAACAAATTTTGACCAACTGTGTTAAAAGAAAGACATTTATCTTTCTGTTCTCTCTAAAAAAAAATAGAACGTCATTGCCATGGGAAGGGGATGGTAAGAGTATGCAGCCAAAGAATGTAAATATTATATGGGTGTGTCAGGCAGCCAATAAAAAATCTTATGCTATCTTTTTTGGATTTTTTGATATTTATGGTTTTTGTCAGCTTTAAAAATTTTCAGTTTGTTGTAATTTATTTTCCAGTTCTCAGTAAATACTTACTTTTGTACTTAATTTTGTTTGGAACTTATGTTCTTTAAGAGGACCCTTCCCCCATTTATATAATTTTCTGTCCTTTCAAAGCCTGAATTCACCCTATCCAAGAATTATTTGACATAATGTAAAGTAAAATGTGTGTGTGTGTAAAACTCACCAATCCCGGACCTTTCCTGTACCAATTAGTCATTAAGGTTTTTCACTGTCAAATTTAAGAGGACGTTAAAAATCAAAGATAGTTTCCCCATCTTCTCTTTATCATTTAAAAAATTTGGTGTCACTGTAGCCTAGGCATTACAACATGATATTTTCTTTGGTCTTTGTATTAGTCAGGATAAATCACTAGTGCTCTAACAAAGGGCCCCTAAAGGTCAATGGCTTTCACATTAAAGATTTGTTTTTCGTTCATGTCACAGGCCGTTGCTGCTCTTTGCAACCATTCACTGACCCTCACTTCTTCCATCTAATCTTCTCCCCAGTTCCTTTGTATCTGAGTATATGATGGGATAAGAAAAAGAACATGGCATATTGTGAGAGTGATCATTAGAGACCATGCCTAAAGGTGGTATGCATCACCTATGCCCACAGTCCATTTGCCATAACTCAGTCATGTTGCTTCACCTAAAGAGGCTGAGAAATTTCTAATATGTCTCCTTTTCTAAAGGAAGAGGAGAAACATGCATATAGATGAGTGGTAGTATTCTTGGCCATAAGCTTCAATAGATAACTTTGTAGATGGAAATGGTCTCTCAGGAGAATTGCCACAGCTCCCAAATCTATGTGCATTTAATTGGGGATACTACTGTGCTTTGGTGAGAAGAGTGTGGGATTTGAAATCAGAACAGCTGGGTTTGTGTTTGTTACAGCTTATCATGTATTACCTCTGTGACCTTGTATGAGACACACTCTTCATGAGCATCAGTTTCATCAGGTATAGGGATGATAATAGTATTGGTCTCACAGCATAGGTTGTTTACAGGGTCAAATGAGACCAAAGGAAGAGTTTATTGTATCCTCTGAGGTTCTGTACAAAAATAAGTGCCCCACCTTTCCTTGTTCTCCTCTTTAACCCATTTTCCACTTTTAGTGCCAGGATGATATGTTGCATCTACCTGGCTGTTAGGGAAAGATGCAAATACCTACATTACTGGGGGACTAAACATTGCTTTCAGTCTTCCCTCAGATCCTGAATATTTATATGTTAAAATATGTATTTTACTTCCTGGATTTGGGGGGAAAAACCCAGAATGGAATGTATTCCTTTAAAACCAGTGTCAAAGGCAAAGAAGTGAATTGTCAACATCCTGAAGTGTTAACTTATGCCATCAGCCCCTAAAATTTGGTGTGAAAAATCTTAACTGTCCTTAAAGTAACCTCCTTTCTTCTATAGAAGGAAGGTTTTTAGAACAGGGTGACACATATGTGAGGAATGTGGGCTCTTGAAATATTTCCTTTGGGAGAAAGAAAACAAAAACAGTAGAGGATAGATGTACCATCTTGAGTTTTCGTTGAGTTGAGGTCATTGAACGAGTAGTATATTAAATGGAATAGAATTTTCTTAATGAAGATATTTTGTATTTTAAATATCTTTGTCACAAGTTCTTGATTAACTATTAATATGTACATCTTAATTACAAGAAGAGGCCTCTGAGTGTCTATTTTGGATATTGAGAGAAACTCTCCCAAAATGTGTGCAAAGGATAAAGTTTGGAGAAGATACCAAAGAGTTTTTGTGTGTATGTTTCCTTTTTCACAATTTCCTTCTTTGCAGCCCTTTACCCATTGTATCAGTGGAATTTATTACTTTGGGAGAAAGCTAAGATCAGAAAATCAATTGAGTTTCTGAATTTATTGTTTAAATTCCTCAGAGAGGCAATACTCTTCAAAGCTGAGACTTACTGCAAAAGCCTGAGCTTCAAAAGCTTAAGAGTCTGGAAGTTGCAGTGCATAGAGTTTATGCCAAACCACAGACTGAGAAGAAATAGATCATGAATGTTTTCCTCCCCAAGGGAGATCAGGTTTGAGCAGCAGACACCCAGGAGAAGAAAATAGAGATTAGAGGCTGATATATACCTGGAGAAAGTGCTTAGTGCCCTGCTCGCCTCCTACTGAACCTTTGGAAAACCTAAGGATAGGATAGGATAGGTTGGGATGGATTTGGGGCCATGTACCTTGCTTCCTAATGAAGCTCAAGAGAAAGAAAGCTATTCTTGTAGGTAAGTTTCCCATTCTAGCATGGCTCTACAGCAGCAAAGTACAAAAGGCAGCAGGAAAGTCTAGGAAGAGAAAGTCTAAAGCAGCACTCCAAAATGCCTGCAACCCCAGGAACTGCCAGACAGTCATAATGTTCATCCACCTGAGACAGTAAAAGTGTGTACATTTGTACACACTTGCACGTTTCTTATTTTTAATGTATAAAATTTGTAACTGCTGCAAATGTGAGTCATTACAGTCTAATTTTCCTTTCTCATATTTAGATGTCAAATGACCTGAAAGTCTCTGGAGTCTTATGTGTGGCCTTTGAGGACTCATCAACTTGAGAACAGAGCAGGATGCAGGTGTTTCAACCATGGATGCCATAGTGGTAGGTCCCAGGTGTCAAAGAATAGGCTCCATTGGAAGTCATTGTGGATGGATGCTCATGGGCAGGCTTGACATCACCTGGTACTCACCAGCAAGGCCCTATCATTTGTGTTAGTTGGTATCTGTTCTGATTGGTTGGTACCTGTACCTATTGCTTGTTAAATATTTTGAGTATCACACCTATTGATGACCTCAGACTGATGGCGGAAAGTTTCGAAAGTCCCCTCCCCTAACTTAGGTCACTCCACAGGGATAAGGAGAAAAGAAAGGGCAGGGAGCATCCTGAGATTACTGATGATTCCTGCCCAGGGACTCTAGAATAAACCAGTAACTAAGTTTATCTTGATTGTTAAGCTTAAGTTTTCCACTATCAGTGATTTAAGTTCATTTACAGTGAATAAAAGAGAGCTTGTTTTTTTCTAACCATGTAAAATTCATAACTGCTACAAATGTGAATCACTGCATTTTAGCTTTCGCTTCTCATATCTAGATGTCAAATGTGCCTCCAAAGCCTCTAAAGCCATCAGACATTAGCTTGGGGAGATCTAAGGGGAAACTTTCCTTTTGTAATTTTAGGCAGTGGAAAGAAGGACTCAGTGGTGGTGTTTCCACAGTGAAGTTGGACTTACAAGCTGGCATAGTGGAGCTTTACCTTTCTACTTTGTAAGGATTGAGATAATCTGTCAAACAAATCCTGTAACAGTTAAGAGGCTGAATAATGTGTTTCTTTCACATAGGTTAAAATCAGGAGACCTCAATTTCAAATAGGAAAAACAGTAAGTGGAAGAAGAATAAAAACCAAAACAAAAATACTAGAGAGGAAATGGACTGATGTTCATAGCTTACTACAGAGTTAATCAAAAGGGCTTAAATAATCTTTTGGGGAAGGGATTTATCAGCAAATCTGGAAATGGATTTTTTTAAGTTTTAAGAAATACGTATTTTGATCTGTGCTTGAAAGTAGCAGATAAATTCAGAGGAGTTTAAGGCATGATCTTTGTGGGAAAGATATTTGCTCCTTAAAAAAGGCTTTATTTGCCTGGATAGACTAGGATGGGATCATTGGATGTCTCTGGTTAGGACTCCAGAGACATGAACAATCAATCCAGAGATATGTTCATCAGATCAAGGATAAGTGCCTTGCATGGAAGTGCCTCATATGAGTGCCTTGTGAACATTGTTAGATGTTGAAATGAGTGATTGGACAGTGATGGAATCTCTTCTCAGAAAGTTACGAAAACCGGGAAACATTTTCATTGGTCTTTTTGGGTTTCAGACTGCTTGAAGGTGGGAGGGAGAAAAGGGTGAAGAAGGTGAGGCAGCTGGGTCAGATGTAATGAGCATTTTTAGTCAGTGCTATACTAGCTTGTCTTTAAATATGAATTACCTATATTTGAAATCTTAAACAGTTATGGGACTTTAAGTAGTGGATAACAAGAATTGGTAAGAATGGAGAGCATGGGGAAATATGACTGATATGGAGCAAGGGAAATGGTCTCATTGGTCTTAACATTTATTTTGATTTTAAGAGTCAATATATTTTTCAAAAATTCCATTGGAAGACATCATCAAGTGACTCTAATAATGATATTCAGTCACAATCTGGAGTGTTCAGAGAATTTGCTGCACTGAAAAAGGGCTTGTGAAAATAATTGTTTATTCAGTATCTCTAGGTTTCAGGGTGATTTTTAAAAAACTCATATAGGATCAGGGCCACTTTAAGGATGTACAGGACCTTGGGAAAACATGTTTTGCAGGAGCCCTACCTATAGAAAGAATTTGATTAAAAAACATAAAGTTAATGTACCCATTTGAGGTATAGTCATTTATCAATGAAGATTTAGAATGACAAGTAAAATAGTCCTTACATATTTGTTTGTTGTCTGGTCAGTGCATATGAAGATTCTTCTTGGTGTCTAGGCACCATCTCTGTCTGTTTAGGTTCAAGAACCACCTCTCTGGTTTTTGTTTTTTTGTTTGTTTGTTTGTTTTTTGCCAAATACACCCATTCCTGGCTAACTTTTTATCTCCTGTGATGTGAAAAAGGTGACAAATATGTTACTACTTACAGTGGCATAGCTTTTTGAAGCCTACTTGTATTGAAGCAATGTGACTAGGTCTCTAATAACCATTTGTTTAGTGCTAGTCATATCATTACTCAGGAAACTTCATCCTCCATTGTGCTGCCTATAAATATTGGCCTCCAATGACTCTTAAGGATCATTACTGTGCTTCTTTGCTGATGACCACAAATGCAAGTTTTACCCAGAGTATGTAGAAAAATGGAAACAATAATTCATTTTTAGGTCATGTTAAATTTATAGTATAAATGTAGAATAACAGTTTTCAACCATGTCTTCTCTTGATTGCTTTAGGCTGTTATTACTGCATTCCTAATGATCTCTTTCAATGTTGATGATAGGAGAGGGTCCTGTGGGACCAGTGAGAAGAGTAGTCCTATTCTTACAAAAAGGTCAACCTTGGAAAATACAATTTTACCACATTGACTAGAGACAAGGGGTCATCTATTCCAAGGGTCTGTGGCAATTTGCATTCCATTTGTGGAATAGCAGTCTTCAAAAACCTTGGAGGATATGAGTGAGGCCACTCCTGAGGACTGTCTGACATGTGGCAAGAGCTGATGAGAGTGGGGTGACCACCCTTGGGCCAGCAATGAGGGTCGGGGGGCACAAAGGGCAAAGGATACTACTTCCACCCCACCAGCCTGAGGTTCTATAGACTGGAGGCAGCACTGCAGTGGAAATGCTGACAGGCCCACAAACACCAGGCTCAAGCCCAAAAGTGAAGTTATTCCTGAATGATCCTATGTTCACTATGAGGAAATCATCCACTCTGGTCACTCAATGTTACGTGAAGAAACACCATGCTGGCCAGTGGGGGTTGACCCATTTGCCAGGCCAGCCTCCTGGAACAGAACCTGACCATAGACCCTACACAACCAAGAGGTCTGAGGTCAGGGGTGCATCTAGTCAACCCCACCCTGGGGCAGAGGGTTGGAGAGTGCCCTGAATAGGAGAAGTGGGGACCAGAGCCCGTGCAAATCCGTCTAGGATGAGGGTGCTTGACCTGGGTGTCACTGCTAGCACTGGTAGATGCCAGGTACTTGAGGAAGACTTAGACAAATTTGCATAATACCATCAAAGCCCAGATATCCTGAGGTATGGATTGGGGTGGGCTGCTTGCGTGGGTCTAAGGGTGATACTGTGTAAAGTGTTGTATTGTAGATTAAGAAGCACTGGAGGGATCATATATAGATGACCATACTGTTGACTTAGAACTGGAGAAACTTCAGCCCTTCACTTTGTGATAGTCTATCAGAGTGAAGTGGTATAATTACCCAAAGGACAACAGCTATATATAAGTTTTTAGGGAAGCATATATATGTGTGTATATTCCGCTAATGCACATGTGTGCACATACACACATTTATATATAAATACATATAATATAAGCATATAACTTACTTTATATATATTTTATATGTGTAAATATGTACAAATATAAATATATCTTTCATATATATATCTTCCATTTGGTAGAAGAATTTAGTTTCATTCATTCATTCAACTCAATTTTTTTTCATTCACATAACCTATTTATTGGAAATAATCATTTTCATGTTTTTGATCCAGTAAGTCATTTCAAAAATATGTGAAATGATGGCATTAATGTGACACTGATCTTCAGTTTTTTACTTTCTTTTTTTTTTTTGCTGTTTAGGTTTTTTTTTTTTTTAACATTTTTTATTGATTCATAATCATTTTACAGTGTTGTGTCAAATTCCAGTGTTCAGCACAATTTTTCAGTCATTCATGGACATAT